ACAGATTCCTATTGGGAATTTTGGAAAATGATTTTTTTTAAAGCCTTTAAACATCCTGGTTGGAACACATGGTTTATACAAAACTGCAGTTGTTTTTTTATTTTAAAAAACATGTTTATGTTGAACATGTGTCAAACATCATTTTCGGTCTCTCCTTCCCCTCCCTTTTCTTTCTTTTTTTTGGTCCACGGTTACAATGGGCTTACCAAAAATTTAGGGCCACAAAGTAATTTTAAATTTAGCATGCTTGTAAAAAGATATTAATGCGCTGTTAATCTATTTCGTGTGGGAACTGAAAGCATAATATTGACAGTGGAACAAGGACAAATGGCTTTTCATGAATCCCATCATATGAAAAAAGGCATTCAGGCTATTATTCTGAAAGACAAGAGTGTCTTTTCTTAATACTGTATTAAAATTGTGAAAACATATTGTACAGATATGAAACTAATAAGGAAACATATAATTAAACTATAGTTAAACAATTGTTAACAAACATTTTATATTATTAATTTGATTTAATGTAATTTAATTTATATTCTGCCTTCCCCCTGGAATGGGTTGGAGTTCACTTTGGTTCGTTGAGGAACTCTCACAGAGAAATCAAATAAAGAATTGCACTCATTTTATATTGATTTTTCAGTGAGTGGAGTAATTATAAGAATTGGTATTCCGCTCGCAGTTGCACGGCCTCTAGTAAAACAGCTAATACAACTAGCACAAGTGATAAAGTAGTTTAATGGAGACATAATGAATTGTATAATGTTTTACAGAATAGATTGCAAAACTTGTGAAACAGTTTTGTTAAAATTCTCATGGAAGACGTCTAAAAGTTGAATTGGACTTTGTGAGAACCTGGGATGTTTTTAAAGCAGTTCAAAAATTGGGATGACAAAGGATTAATTGGGACTGTTTCCGTCCGAATGAGACAGCTGGGGGGTAAGTGGTTACCAATGCATTAAAATGTATCCTAAACTGAATGGTATTTCACACAGTATGAACATTAGCTTTTATTCTAAAAGTGAAACAGTGGGATAGTATTCTTGAAATCAATAAATTCTCAGCACTTTAATAGCAAGCAGCAGTAGTATGTTATATTCAGTAACTTCCCATCATTTATCTACCCCTCTGAAATGTAAACTTTTACTCCTGCAGATCTTTGTCTATCTTCTCTTTCTGCTTCTCCATTCTATCACTTCAACCAAAAATGAAACTAGCTTAGTTCTATGTTTATATAGAACCCACAATGGTTCTCAACCTGTGGGTCCCCAGATGTTTTGGCTTTCAACTCCTAGAAATCCAAATAGCTGGTAAAGCGGCTGGAATTTCTGGAAGTTGAAAGCCAAAACACCTGGGTACCACAGGTTGAAAACCACTGCCTTGGGAAGCTTTTCTTTCCTTTGCAAGCTTGTGCAGTATCTCATGGAATGGCTATGGTAGCACTTGAAGAAGCAGAATTCAAGTACTGAATTTGATACTTGTGCAAGAATGAAGATGGGGCTTTCACATGAAGTGGAGGTTTGTCCTAATGTTAGTGCCTGTGTCTTTCTGTGTTTCTTACTATATAGTGTAGGAATGTTGAACTGCAGATCATAGAATCATAGAGTTGGAACAGACCACAAGGGCCATTCAATCAATCCTCTATCATTCAGGAACATACAATCAAGGCACCTCCTACAGATGGCCAACCACCCACTTCTTGAAATCCTCAGGAGAAGACTCCAAAACCAGACTCAAGGTGGTTTTGACTGTCAGTCCTCATGCTACCATGGAAGTGGGAGGGAGTCTTGATAGCCAGTCTTACCAGCCCCTTCCTGTTCTTGTCATAATGGTAGACACCTGGTGCAACATGGCTAGTGTCCATCACTCTTCACCTGGAGTGATGTCAGCTGGATGCCAGAGCAGTGCCAGGGAGGCGGAGGGAAAAGAGCAATCAACCCCCCCTTTCCCCTCCCTTCTCCAATCACTGTTTCAACCTGGCCAACGCTACTCTAGGTGACAAGCAACAGACACTAGCCATGTCACGCCCAGTGGCTGATCCTAAGACAAGAACGGAGTAAGGGGATAATGAATGACATCCTATGTCTCTGGCCCACCTAAGCCTAGGAAATATGGAAGCAGCTGAGGTCAGTTCCATCTTGGAACTGTTTACACAGGCCCAAAGTTGTGGTTTGTTCTGGAATTTGGGGAAAAATTTAGAGCAACTCAAAACTTTTGTTCAAGGCTGAATTAAGCAGCCTTGGCCCATGTTGACTTAAACCAGTTCATGTATCAGGCAACTGCTACAGAGCTACCTCTCTCCCTGCCTCAATAAAGGGTCAGTGTAGATGTGCCTTGAGTTTGTTTCTTTAACCATTACTTTCTTTACTCATTATTAGCGTCATTGTTGCACACCGGCAACAAGTGTCAAGTGTTTTATTCAGGTCTAAGATCAAGACACATAATTTAAAGGCCAAATTCTCCTCTACAAATCTATCCTCAGAGGCTTCGAGTTCACACCCTACATTGTTGCCATAGGAGGTACAATATGTGTGTGTGTGTGTGTGTGTGGTGGGGGGGGGGGTCCACAGAATCATGGAAATCCGATGTGAAAGAGGTTTTCTTTAGACATCTGGGGCTACCTAACAGTCAATTTTAAATGATATAATGCAATCAGTATTGTTTCCAGATTCTTTTGTGCCCATTATTTTATGTTGTTTTATTAGCTTTTTAAAATAATGTCTATTTCATGCTGTTACTTTTAAAAATAGAGAGAGAGAATTGCCCCATTTTAATCAGGAAGACTCCGTTAATCATGTGGAACTCTGGCCAACCTTTTTTGGTGTATTAAAACCAACACAGCATCAAAGCAGTGCACCCCATAAACAATTTAACAATGAAGAGATTTGGAAGTAAACCTCAACCAAATTCCATCCACGTGTTACATATATGCGTGTGTGTGTTTTCATGTCAGGAGTAACATATACATATATTTCAAAAACTTACTTTCCGATATTAACTTTGGGCAAGCACCCATATTTACATCAATAGCTGCAAGCCTTACTGAAAAATGGCATCACGCAACAGAAGTGGCACAGCATAGTTTACAAGCACTTAAGCTGGAGCTGAATGAGTGAAATGTAAGGGGATATTTGCCAAGCTACTTGACACTTTCAAGTCAGCTTAATCAGATACCCTTTCGTTTCCTGTAGTGAGGAGACAGAAGTTCTGCTACTCCCTGTATACTAAGAGTCTATTTACATATTCTAAGTGAACGTACAAGTCATGTTACATCTGGCTAGACTCCTGTACTTCTTAAAACCACATAATCTGACAGGGTAGGAAAAGATGAAGGCAGGGGGGAAAAAAGATTTATTAAACACAGAGAACCTGGGCAGCTGAGATAAAGATATTCTAATGGCAAACATTTGGATCCCTTGACTTATTTCTTTATTATACATCCTTAAGATATTACTGCAGCAGCAGTTCAATGCCAGCAGTAAAATGTATACATATTAGGTGGGCATACCCACTTTGGAGGAAAGATTTATTTTCAATCCAATATCATATCCTACAAACACCAAAAAAGGGTTTGGGAACTGAAGCCAGTTTGAGTGAAGATAGAAAGAAAACAGCAAGAAAAAGTGCATGCAAGCCAGTTTCCTTTTAAATTTACACTCACAATCCCAAGGCCAGTAGTTGGGGATTTCAAAAGTTTGGAGATTTGGGAGCTGGGAAAGAATATTTGAGTGCGAAAATCTATAGTGTATTGTCGAAGGCTTTCATGGTCAGAATCACTGGGTTGTTCTGAGTTTTCTGGGCTTTCTGAGTTTTCTGTTTCAGAAGCATTCTCTCCTGACGATTCACCTGCAACTATGGCAGGGACTTCCCAACAAAGGATTTCTCTGGGCAGTAAGTAAGAAGCCATTCTAAACCAAGAAACTGCTAGGCCATCAAATGCTAATCAAGGTGACCAATTGAAACATTCACACCTACCTCCAGCAGACAAGAGTTCTTTCTCCTACCCTGGACTTTCCACAGATATATAAACCAAATGTTCCTAGTTTCCAACAGACTTCACAATTATTTATTTATTTATTTATTTATTTGCTATACTTGTATACCGCCGTTTCTCAGCCTAACCGGCGACTCAACGCGGTTTACAACAACTTATAACAAACAACAGTATACAGTTTAAAAGCATAAAAACATAATCCACAATCCACAACCTTTGAGGATGCCTGCCATAGATGCAGGCAAAATGTCAGGAGAGAATGCTTCTGGAACATGGCCATACAGCCCGGAAAACTCACAACAACCAAAAATCTATAATGCTTTTGGATATGTGTATGACCACCTACAAGAATCAAAGCTCTGGGTGTTCTCTATACAAGTATAAACCAAATAAGTGAAGATGAGAGGATTAAAAAGTTTATTTAATTTCAATATTATGAAGAAAGAATACTGTTTCATAAATATTCCAATTCCAGTTCCCCTTTCCCATATAAACAATAATCTGAAAAGCACTGACCAGCCACCTATGCAAAAGTAGTACAGATATACATTCTGTAACTCACAATCTTTCTGGAGATGTGAAAAACTCTTCTTTTCTGCACGTGGATGTTCTTAACTGCCATTAAATTTTTTTTTAAGAAAATTTTTATATTGTCCTGAAAATGGGATTGATTTTTTGTATATTCTGACCAGTTTGCAAATAAATGCATTTCATTTCCATCAAGTTAAATTTTGATTTCTTTTCTTTTTTTAAAAAAAATCTGATTATCTTTTCCCATGACAATCTGATGACATTCAAGTCTCATATGACTATTCAATGTTACGAGAAATGTCATTCTTTGAAGGGTGGCATTACAAAAACAAAGGAAAATCTGCAGAAAAGGCAACTAGATCAACACAACCAAAAGCAAAGGCAGAGAAATATAAAACAATGTGAATGTGGGGAAAAAGAAGGAATGTTTTTAAAAAATCCAGAAAGTCCAAATGAGAAATTATATATTACTTACCGAGAGTCTCTGATCAGAGGTGCATTTCCCAGTTTAAAACAGGGTTTTCCAGTTCCACATGAAATCTGCCTCAAAGAAAAGCTTTCTGCTAAATCAAAACCTGAAAAAAAATATGATAGAGAAATATAATTTATTGTTCATTTAATGTTGTTTAACAAGAATGGAGGAAATAATTGATTTCTTCCATAAAAGTATTCATTCTGCCACAGTAACAACTGAGAGGCTATTTTAGTTCCTACAGATTTGAACACAGAAATATCTAGCTCTCATTTTCTCTGTAGATGGTATATTAGTTTGAAATTTCCCCAGCACTTGGCAACCTCCAAAGAATGCACTCCTTGCTTCATTTTGCCATCTGAATGAATGTGAATAAAAGTGTTTTTCTCTAGAATTGAATACTAATTCCAGGCTAATTATAACAAGCATGAATGGAAAATTAAAGAATGAATGCAAGTGTCTTTGCTATGCCACTGTGAAATACCGTAATATGCTCTTCATTATCGGTTGGGGGGGGGGGGATTACAGGAAAGGGATAGACAGATGGATGGTACATTTTCAAAATCTCAACTGTATGTTCAAATCACCTGGGATTCATTACTGTTTTGTGTATGGAAAGTTGACAACAGACTGTAGATTAATGACCATCTGTTTTGAATATAGCACATGCAGTATATAAAATTCCAGTTTAGGATTTCCACAAAGGTCTCGAAGTTTCCAAGTCAAAATATTTTACCTAGGGATGGTGCGAAGCCGTGACTCCCAC